AGCTTTTTTAATATCGGCTGACGTGGCGGTCCGCTCGAGTCCCAGCACCGCGTAATGGTCTTGCTCGCCGCCGTTGATTGCTGCCCATGATGACGATGATGATGCAACTACCACTTTTGGGCCCCATTTGTTGTTTTTGCGATGGCGGGATTTATTGTCAAGGTTAGGATGGTGGGTCCAGCTACCGATCAGGGAATTGTGGCCACCGGTGATGATGGAGCTGGAGGAGGAGAATGAAGCAGAGGCGTCGATTGTGGTGGGGATAGGTCCCACCAGGATGAGGCGCGCTTGCATTATCGTTCATGCATCTCTCTCTCTCTCTCTCTCTCTCTCTCTGTGTGTATCGTGTGGCGGTGGTGAATCAACCTGTGGACATCGAGTGTATGGCAAATGATGCAGAGAAGAAATCAGCGACTTTTTGTTGTTGTTGAATTATAAGAGTACTCCCTGAAGTTTGGAGGATTCATCAATTTTATCCCCTAGAAGCCCTAAACTAATTTGCTCTCAACTAGTTTATAAGGATTTCTTTTCTTCAAAACTCCTCCTTGTTCCAATTCCACACCGATTTAATTTAATTTAATTTAAAAATTCAGATTTCAAGCAAATTGTATTTTGACAGTACATCTTCTCAGAAGCTATGCCATTCAAACTTCTTTGGCTGTCCTGATTGTCTTCTTCAATAGGTGAACATACAAGCAAAATGGAGGGTGGATTTTATTATATTCCATTTATCAAATGTAATTTATCTAATGAACAATAATTATTCTGTGGAAGGAAATCTGCCACATAAAAGGCTGTGTTAGGACAAATGATGGATGTCCATCCAAAACACAGGGTCTTTTCTGTCGATCTGACAAGGCAGATGAAGATGAACAACACAGTTTGTAGAGATACTTAGCAACTAAGCACCCAATCCATTAAATTATTTTTCTTCTTAAACTCTTGGAACAACGATTTTAATTACTATTATAAGAGAAGCCACTTTCACTGTTGCATTCATTATATCACCTCTCAAGTTTCCACTATAAATGGCCACCATGCATATCCTGTTTATTATTACTGCAGAAACGGTGTTTTTTAAAAATTTAAAAGTCAGTTCACCTTCACATTTTCCAACTCTTTCCATGGTTGATAATTCAAAAAAACCAGGACATGAGATAGTTACAAATCCCTTGACAAGTGCTCTACCAGCTTCTTTCGATCTTCAACAACTTACCCAGTAAGCGAGGACCACCACCTATACCAACAAGTGCAAATAGACAAGCCCGATTATTAAGAAAAGAGAATGGCGTGCAAGAGAGTTGGGAGGGGTGTCATCGCTGTCAAACTCCATCCAAAACTCCACTCTCAGCATTCTAAGACTAGGGACACCATGTGTGATCTTCAAAAGTCTAAGAATAGAGTGACATGCAGTCGCAAGTCGCAACTGTAAGGACAGCCACCTCCATCTTCGTAGTCTTCCTCAGCAACAACAGGTTTTATTACGGGGCAGCTCATGATGTTCATATCGATGTATTATGCGCCTCTGCATCTAGCATTGGGTAGACCTCATACAATAACTGTCCTAGCTCTACCGTATCTTTTGTTTCATTTCTTCTGGAACAATCACAAACACTTTTTTGATTATGGAGCTTTGAATACTAGAAGAAAAGCACCTATATCTAGCAAGATTAAGTGAATACCTAAAATTATTGTCATTTTATTTCTATCTTTCCATACATAACCAAAAAATATAAAAGATTGTTCAAGAGTCTCGGTTCCTAGAAGTGCATGATAAATAACGCCAAAGCCCAATACTACAGAGGAAATTAAGTGAAGCACGCCAGATACAAAGTATGGAAAGGTGTCTATGACTTCCCCGCCAGGACCCACCCCCAACCTAGAGTAGCTAGGTGGGGAAGTAAAATTAATCCTTGTTCATACATTGGCTCCGAAGATACGTGATATATATCCGTGGTTATATGAAAACACCCTTTAAACTAGCAACAGCTGAACCTCACCTCTCTGTGAACTTCATCCAGCGCAAAGATGAACCTGAATAACTTTGATAGGCTCACAGACCTAATAAAACACATGTAAAATCATCGACAGTAGCCTGGAGCTTGTCATGCTATGAGTGAAATTCTTATGGCAATGATCCGGAGATCCGTTCAAGCATGGTATCACAACTTGGAAACCAACTCCATTTTTAATTTCAAACACCTCTGCGCAAATTAAGCATGGTATCCTGCTTCAGATAAATTACAATTTTGATGCTTGAGGTCTGTACTGTGTGCAGCTAGCAAAACAAGACTATCTTTTTGCTGCTTTGCGCCATTGTGTGTTTACATGGGCTTTAAATTTGTAGTTTGAAAGATTTTAGGCATTGCGCTGGTAGCTCTGATATACACCACAAAGGGTTCAGAAGACAGATGGTGGTGTGTGTAATATGATCATAAATGACATTTTCATAGATTTATGGCTTCCCAGAGAACCATGAAAGAGAAACATCATCTTTAAGAATCTTATTTGAAAACTAATTTCGAGGTGTTCTAAACTCTCTTCAAATACGGATAATATCAATCTATAATATTATAACTATATTAGTGCCTAGATTATCTAAAAGAAATTAATGTTCCCATCAGCTTTTCATCAAAATTTACATCTTTTTACTTTATATTTATCTTATTTTTCTACTTTTATGGCTCCAGGTCAGCGCCACTAAATTCATTAGGACCCACCATTCACGGAGAAGCAAAGAAGGCAGTATCTATGGCTGTTGCCTCACGTAGAAGGCAGGGCTGTCCAGATTCATCACAGGGGACCGCATTGCTGTCCCCTTAATTTCTTGCTCGAAAATGTTGCCATTTTCTTCTTGATTTTTCCTCCTAAACACGTCCTCGTTATGTCGACAGACAGTTTTTGTATTGTAAGAATACGATAATTTTATAAAAAATACTTATCAAATCACGCCTTAATATTCACAATAATTGAATTTGCAGACATCATTCCTTCGTTAACATGATGTTTCTCTTTTTATTACAAAAATGAGTATAAATAGATTGATTAATTACCGAGAAATTCAACAACTCCTTTTCTTTTGTGGGTTTAATCCTCCGTTTAGAATTGCGCTTCAACAGAAATAGATTAAAATTTAATTTTTATTTATTTTAAATTATTTTTAAAAATTTTCAAATAAAAATAATTTTAAAAAAATAAAAAATTTTTCAAATAAAAATAATTTTAAAAAATAAAAAAAATATTATTTTAATATATTTATAAATAAAATATACTTTAAAAACAATAACCACCACACTCAAAAGAGAAAAATACTACAAATAAAACTAATTATAGCATGATTTAAACTTGAGATTTTGAATATGTCATTAATTTTTTATACAGCCAATTCTCTGATAGATATTTTTCTTGGTCTGTTTATTTTTTGTGTATTAAAAATATTTTTTTAAAAAAATAATTTTTTTATTTATTATTTTTTATAAATTAATATATTTTTAGTATTTTTAAATTATTTTAATGTGTTGATATCAAAAATAATTTTTAAAAATAAAAAAATTATCATTAATATATATTATATATTTTAATACAAAAAAATATTTAAAAAATAATCATAATTATATTTTTTTTATGTTGTTTCAGAAAGAATCTTTCGTCAAGTTAGAGGCTCAGTATTAAAATTCATGAACTATCATCACCTAAAAAAAAATTGTTTACCACCTTATTTTCTCTCTATATGGAGATTTGATTTTTATTAAAATAATCATGCTGATTTACTAAAATATTTTTCTCAAAATCATTTGTTAAAAGATTTTAATTATCCATTTGGTAGGATTGCCAACTTATTTTTTATTTTGAATAAAAAATTAATTTTTAAAATATAATAATAAAAAAATAACCAATAACACTTCAAAAAATTAATAATAAAAAAAATAACCAATAACACTTCAAAAAATTATACAACTAAAAAAATAAAATCAAATAACTAAAAAATAGGGAACAATGCTCAAAGACCATTTATTTAAAGACTCCACTAATGGGCTCATCCATTGTATATGATTTCTTTTTGGAAATTATTTAAAAACAAATTATTGGATAAAATTAACATTGTTTTAATCTTTTTTTATTTCCAATAAGGATGTCCTGTACAAATATTTGGACATTGGAATTAAATCCATCATAGATCATGTCTGAATTAAATCTTCCATACATTTAAGAAATTATTTTCATAATTTATTGTGAAAGATAAAACTAGAAATAATTCACATCACATAAGATTCATAAAAACAAAAAACATATATCAGATAATTCAATTCAATCTATTTAGTATATGGCTTATTCTTGCAATTTTGAATTTTTTAAGGTAGATTGAAAAAAAACAAGTTTTCCTTTTCAAAAAAAAAAAATATAATAAAACTATAACTATTTTTCATTAAAAAATCATAATTTACAACAATCATCTTAGTATTTTATATTTATGATAATTTAATTATAAAAAATATTTTTTTATTAAAATTAAACTAATTATTATGAAAAAGTTATACTGTTAACTAAAAAATCATTTATAATAGATTTATATAAAAAATAAATTTATAACTTTAACTAAATTTAAAAAATAATTTTAGTATTTCACCCTATTAAAAAATACTTGCATATAAAAGAAAAATATATATTATTCATTTTTTATTTGAAATTTTTTTTTTATTGAAGAACATTTAAAATGTGTTTTTTCAAATAATATAAATTTTAAAAACTGAAAACTAGTTTTAAAGGTTTTTTTGAATAAAAAAATATTGTATTTGAACATAATTTGTTTTATTTAATTTTCTTAAAAGCTGAAGTATTACTCTATTTCTAGAGCACCGACTAACATTCTCTTTTTTTTTAAAAAAAAAAACCTTTAAATTTTATTATGAAAAAAAGGAAAGAAAACAAAGCTAATTTACTATTATTACCATTATTATTTTGGGTCATTTTAAGTTTGTTTTCTTGTCTATAACAGAAGATGAGAACAACAGGCAAAGGGAAGACGCGCTTTAATTCAAGCCTCAATGAGACCGTCTCTCCCGGCCACCCTCTACTTGAGTTAATAAAACACTCTCTCTCTACCTCAAAGAGGGCCAGAATAGTGCGACACAATACAAAGGACGTTCAAAGGGCCTCTCTCTTTCTCAATCTCAGGTATTCTTGTGCACCTTCTCCTTAGAAGAAACTTGTTTCATGTGATGTGGAATGGTGATTTTCTTGATGGGTTTTCCAAGAAACTTAGTTGTAATGTACATTATTTCTTCTTTATTATGATGCCTCGAAATATGATTTGTCGTTCTACTCAATAAAACAAAAAAACTAAATCTTTATGTAGAAGTTCTTGTCCAAATATGAGCAGGATTCACACATGATCCTCCTTGTCAATGGGTTTTGCTAAGCTGTGGAAAATATTTGGAAAAAAATTTCTTCCTTTTCCATTTGAAATTTTGTTTCTTTTCTCATATGTACTCTGGGTTGTTTTAGTTTCTTTTCAGGGGAGTTGTAGCATGCATGCAAAAATCAGAATTTAAGGGGAAAATAAAAGGATCACAACAAGAAGAGACTAAGAAATAGATTGTACAAAGAAAATCGATTCAAGAGAAATTTGAGCAGTTTCATAAATTTTAATTAGCAGTAGAAGCATCCCTTCATGGTTTTCATCGAAGCATGTCATTGAATATGTGGTTTCTCAATGTAATTTTTCTCTTTCTCAAAGAAAATTTCTCGGTTTAATGGTCTTTGATTTCCTTGTCTAACTGTAGAAAATAACGGAAGAATAAGAATTCAATGTCTTCTTTGGGGAATTCCAACAATATATTTTGGCAAGAATGTCCTGTTGGGAAGTTGGAAAGGCAAAAACTAATTAACCAGAAGGGATGTGTTGTATGGATTACAGGTCTCAGTGGATCAGGTTTGTTGTGAAACTGAGTTCCTTTTACTTTTGTTGCATCAATCATCACCAGGCGTACATTGAGAACCAGAATTAGCATGTTCCGCTTTTATCACGTGCAGCTCTGTTCACAATGATGTTATTACCGTCTAAATAATATCTTTTGCAAAGTACCATCAACTTTAAGAATCTAAACTGTTGTGAGCATCATAGAAACTGTGTCTACATGGCACAAGTATTTTAACTAGTTTCAAAAGAAAAATGGATGCTGGACTGTTATCATAGGTATTTAATGAATTTCCATACCCTCTTATACTGCTTCGTCAATATTTCAGGGAAAAGCACACTGGCATTTTCGCTAAATAGACAATTGTATTCTAGGGGGAAGCTGTCCTATGTGCTTGATGGGGATAACCTTAGGCATGGACTGAACAAGGATCTTGGTTTCAGTGCTGAAGATCGAACTGAAAATATAAGGAGGGTTGGTAAGTATGATTACACACGAAACCTTATAATTGGAGTTTGACTTAACGACCATGAGATTTAATTTTTTATCATAGATGCTTCGTCTTCTCCAAGATAACAAACAAACATGTTCAATGGGATTGGACATGGTATGTATAATCTCGTATCCAACAGAAGTTGGATATGGCTTTCTAATGGCTATGATCTACAATTTGTTGAAAGTGTTGTGATAAACGAGTTCTTATCAAGTTCTGGAGTAATTTGGAAGATGTTAATTGCTGGTAGTAAATTAGTCCAAACATCAGCATTTGATATGACCTTGTTCAGCATTCTTGTTCTTTGGTCTCCCATTAAAGCAGTTCTGATTGCCATATGCTCTGTGGGTTCTTTTGGGAAGTCTTTGAGGAAGCTTTTACTAGCTCCAACTCTTTGTTTTGTTAGTTACTGTGTCCCAACTTCCAGTAATGGGATAACTGTAAGAGATAAGCTAGATTTAAACATGCTAAAAAACCAAAAGTAATTTCTCAACTTCTGCAGGTTTGCAGCTCACTATTAAACGTCATAATTCTTTTAAGCTGAAGTATGAGGTCATGGTCAAGTTTCAGCTCCAAGACTCATTTATAAACAAACTATTAGTGTCTCTTGCATATTTGGGCTATTGTTAAACATTGTATCAGTAGCAAAAAGAAAGAGATCTTACTCAAGGTTGTGATAATTAGAAGGATTGTTAACTTCAACTTTGGTAATATGCTGTGCTTGTTTACATTATTTTTTATTTTGTTTATCTCTAAGTTATTTTGCATCTATTTCATCTAGGGGAGGTGGCAAAGCTCTTTGCAGATGCTGGTATGATATGCATTGCTAGTCTGATATCACCATACAGAAAAGACCGGGATGCTTGCCGTGCAATGTTGCCAGATTCAAATTTTATTGAGGCAAGTTTCCTCATGAAGGCTGTTATGTGTGAGCTTGTTTCTTCCTAGAGATGGAATGCTGATTTCTTGTATCTGTACAGGTTTTCATGAACACTCCTCTATCATTGTGCGAGTCAAGAGATCCTAAAGGCCTTTACAAGCTTGCACGTGCTGGAAAGATCAAAGGTGTGCTTTTGAAAATTTCTTAGCTGTATCTTTTATACATTGAGCACTTTCGCTGACGGCCTATTCATCTGCACCCAATTAGTTAGGGGAAAACACACAAGTTGTGTAATAATAGATTATATAATGACCTAGAAAATATTAGAGAATAATATAAATCATATCCTGGGACCTTACCTAACAGTTTAAACTTTTGGGTTGAGATGGTTCTTTGACAGAAAATGCACCCAATGATACCACTTAAAAAACAAAGAAGAACCAAAGAATATTTTGGAATAATGGTATGAATTATGACACCCTTTTCACTTCTTTAGAAGTTTCTGAAGCTCTGCATTACAACTGCAGAGGACTTTTGGCTAAGTGAAGGGCTCACTTCGAGTGTCCCATCCACACAATGCAATAATAAATCAACATATGTAAATAAGAAAAAAAGAGAGAAGAAAAGCAGCTCCCAAATGTCAAGACTCTCGATACTCGTTTCGCAATCAATTCCTTAGAACGAAACCATAAATTGATGGCATACATAAATTGTGAGAATTTCTTAGCATCCCCTGCTATCATGCATTTCCTTCCATTATTAATACATTTTGTTCCAGATGGCTGAATGGACCAGCCAAACCTTGTCTTCAGCCACTCCCCCGTCATCCAAAAGTGACCATGTTTAAATTGCAGGTTTTACCGGCATAGATGATCCATACGAACCACCTTTGCAATGTGAGGTATGATTTAAAACAATTAAGCTTTCTGATGTGCTCATAAATATCTCTGATGTTTTTCCTTGTCCAATCTCCAAAGTCTGCATAACTGAGTTATTATTTTCCAATCCTATCCGTGCAGATAGAATTACAGCAGATAGATGGAGTCTGCCCCACACCAACTGCTATGGGTGGGCAAGTAGTGTCTTACTTGGAAGAGAAAGGATACCTGGAAGATCAGTGATGGACTCCACCAATTCTGCTCTGTCTGTGTCATAACGAGTCACTCAGTTCGAGGATCTCATCTAAATAATAACTCGAACCAGTCTTTATCTGCATCAACACCTCCTGGCTACCCATATGGCTTTTGGCAGATTCTAATTGCATAGTTTCTAATTGTGTTTGAAAGCATGGACTCATGCCAGGCTAATTTATTTTGGTTTTCAAGATTGACAGAGTTTAGAGAACCTGGCAGGATGTTGAATCTGTACACTGTTTCTTTAGGTTCATACCCAACCGTTCCCATAGACAAACTCTCTTTCAGATTCCATGTCCTCCCAAATAAACGTGAACTTATTTTCTTAAGAAAAATACTTGCAAAAGTTTACAAAAACAATTTATACCAAAACCTAAGGGTCATTACTTTTACATGCATGTCTTTAGGTTTCTGGCTTCCATTCAACTTATGACTTGTATCCTCATTTATCCAATTTTTGTTGGACTGAAATCATCAAAGTTGATGTGTATGACCCTGCTAGGAACAACTGGTAAAGCAACATGCATTTTATCAGGTTGCATTGTTTAGAATGAATCAAAATACATGATAGTTAGATTATGGATATAAGCAGCCTATGCATGAACAAGGATATTTGAGCTTGCCTATAATATTTGGTGTTTTAGTATGTGTTATATTGTAGTAGTGGTTTATTTTTAAGTGTTTTGATTTGAAAATATGTCAAAATAATATTATTTTATGTTAACACATCAAATAATTTAAAAATACATAAAAGTATAATTTAAACAAATATGTTTTTTCAAAAACAAAATGACATCCTCCAAAACCCAAAAAAAAAGAAAAAGTACTGAACCTCTTTTTATCAAAATTATGTGTAAGAGATTTTAAAAGGACTTCTTGTCGGCTAAAATTGTTAAAGGATTTGTGGGTGAAAGCCTCGGAAAGAACTGCCAAGCCCATTCTCATTTGAAATTGAAACAGCTCTAATACGACATCGTTCCTGCCCCCAGTGAAATCAATAAGACGAAAACACTAGAACATCTTCAATTATAAGACTACCCAACAAAACATCCAAAGACGGACAGCCACCACTCCAGCGCAGGCAAAGACCAAAGACAAAACACAGACAAATAAATTGAAGAGAAGAGACAGAGAGATGGTTCTGAACAGCAGTTTGATGGTGACAATAGCGAACGTATCAGCAAATCTGTGTCAATACATAGCGTGCAACCCAGAACGCTTAAGCAGCGATCAAGTTTTACATCTCCTCTTCTGTCTCCCTCTTCATCACTTTGGGCGTCTTGCTCTCTCTTTCTGGACCTATCTTTGCTACAACCCGACCCCCGCCAATCTGCCTGACTCCTACTCTGATGCTGACTCAGATAACGATTCCCATTCGGATTGATGAATTTTCTTTCTTCTTTTTATTTTTTACAATACCCATTTCTTTTCATGCTGGGTTTTGCATTTCATGGCCCCATTAATGAAATAAAAAATGAATTATGTGTGATTTAGTATTGATTGTGAATGCCTGGGTATGGATTTTATTGCTTTCAATCTTGGTTTATGCTTGTTTGTTTTGTTTGTCTTTATTTTTTTATTTTATCTGCCACTTCTAGATAATTTCATTTTTACCTTTTTCTTCTGATAAATGAAAGAAATTAGGGAACAATTCTTGAAGATGAAAACAAGCTCCTTCATTGCATGATTCTCATCCTTGAAAACAATAGCAGGTTGCAGATGTCAGAAATTGAGCTCTCAAATTCTTTTTCTAAACTTAAAGTGAAAACTGCTAATTGGATGGGCGACGTATCTATACATGGATAGCTTTAAAGTGAAGCTGTATATTCTTCAATAGCTGGACATAAAAAAAAAAGAAAAAAAAAAAAGGGAGTAGCCTGAAGATTTGGTAATATAAATAATTTGGGTGAGCAGGTTGTTTTTTAAAATGATTTATGTATTAAAATAATTTTGTTATTTAATTTTTAAAAATTATTTTTAATATTATTACATCAGAACAATCTTAAAAGTAAATAGAAAAATTATGTTTTCAATGCAATGACCAAAAAAAAAAAATATCTTGCAAAATGGATTAGTTTATGTGAATATGCAAAATGGAGGTTGGATTTCTATTCTCAAATATAATTTACTTGCTGAATTTTGAAACAGAAACATTGCAAGAGATGGTCATTCCTTATTTATAAAGAAGTAAAGACTAGTTTTTTTTAAAATATATATATATTTTTTTAAAAATTAATTTTTTTATTTTTATTTTAAATTAATATTTTTTATATTTTTATATTATTTTTATGTGATGATTTTAAAAATAATTTTTTAAAAAAATAATTTTTTATATATTAAAAAAACACTTTAAAAAAATTACCTACACATTCAAATATCCTTTTTAAAAACTATGATTTTAAAGTTTTAATTTGAGTGTCAAATTCTTATCTTCATCGAACCCTGTGGTCTTTTTTTTTTAATAAATGTTTGTGGATTTTTATTTTAAAATGTCATGAACAGTGATGAAATGAAAATTAATCATAAACATGTGGCGCCGTAATTGTATAAAAATAAAAACAACTCTTCGCGTGTGTGCGCGCATGTAGCAAAATTCAAATCAATATAATTGTTTTATCCAATATCCAACAAGATTTCATTGATAAAAAATATATATATATATATAAATTCTCATTGACTCATTTCTCTAGTAAAAAACTATTTATAAAAAAGATTTAAATTAAAAAAAATCAAAACTTAAAAACAAAATATTAAAAAATAAGATACAAGTCTGAACTCTAAATAAAAAGTTTATGTTTAGAATTTTTTGTATATAAAATAATGGGATAGACAACATGTTATTTGTTTTAATTTTACTTAAAAAAAATAGATTACATATTGGTTAGAATATCCAGATTTTAATCATTATAATGGCTAATTATTTTTAAAAAAAAAACCTATTTGTAATTCAAAACACCTAAAAAAAAACCTTAAAATCCTTGTTAAACAATTTCATAATCTTCAAAAACATAAAAAGTCATTCCAAAACTCAAAACTAATCCAAAATCAAAAATCTTTTCAAGCTTATATACATTTTCTTAAGTACTTTTAAGGTAAAAATAACATTTAATTTGAACATCCAACTTTACATAACCATTTGGAAAAAAAAATCTATTGTTTCGATGGTTAGAATTGTCATAATGTCAATTTTCTCTATCAAGACTGGAATTTGGTGATTTATTTTCTTTTATCTCTCCAAAAAAAGTCTAAAAATAACAAAAATAAAATTTAGTGTTAAAATTATTTTTTTAAAAATTAGAGGAACCAACCATCTAATAGATAAAAAAATAAAAAATAAAATATACTTTTCAAACAAATTTAAAAAATACCACTTATAGTACTCGTGTTTTTTATTCTTACTGTCAACTCAATCTTCTATTAAAAAAAAAAATGTAATTAGATACTAATCTAGATTCACCTTAATTGTACAAAGAAAAATTTAAGAATCAAATTAAATTTTTTAAAAAAAAATTATTGCTCAATTCATAACCATTTGTGAAGGGACAAATAATGATTTTATAGTATTTTTCCCACCACCAGGCTTTGTTTTTGTTAATATATATCAACTTGTATGCTTTAAAGAATACTAACCACATTGAATCTTATAATTATAGTTTATGCTATACCTTTAGGTACCATTTGGTTTTTTGTTTAAGACATAAGAGATGAGATGAGAAATAGTTATGTTTAATAATGACATACAAGATAAAATATTTTTATTTTTGTTGGAAAAGTGAAGTCAACAACGTAGAATGTTGATTTTATTTTTTCTGTTTTGTCTATGTATATATATAAAATGTGAAGTCAACAACTTAGAGGTTGTTTTTTAAAATGATTTATGTATTAAATTAATTTTGTTATTTAATTTTTTAAAAATTATTTTTCATAATATTACATCAAAATAATCTGAAAAGTAAATAAAAATATAATTTTAAATAAAAAATTAATTTTTTAAAAAAAGTATGTTTTCAATGCAATAACAAAAATAAATAAAAAACCTTGCTCTTTTTCCTTCCAGCTTCCACTGTTCAAGAAAACAAACACATTAAAATGGATTAGTTTATGTGAATATGCAATATGGAGGCTGGGTTTCTATTCTCAAATATAATTTACTTACTGAATTTTGAAACAGAAACATTGCAAGAGAGGCTCCAGGATCTACATGACATGGTCATTCCTTATTTTTAAAGAAGTAGAGAACAGTTTATTTTTTCATTTAAAAAAAAATATTTTTTTATTTTTTATTTTAAATTAATATTTTTTGTATTTTTATATTATTTTTATGTGATGATTTTAAAAATATTTTTTTATATATTAAAAAACACTTTAAAAAATATCACACTTTCAAATACTCTTTTTAAAAAACTATGATTTTAAAGTTTTAATTTGAGTGTCAAATTCTTATCTTTTTAAAAAACCTTGTAGTCATTTTTTTTAATAAATGTTTGTGGATTTTTATTTTAAAATGTCACGAACAGCGATGTAATGAAAGTTAATCATAAGCATGTGGCGCCGTAATTGTATAAAAATAAAAACAACTCTTCGAGTGTGTGTAGCAAAATTCAAATCAATATAATTGTTTTATGCAATATCCAACAAGATTTCATTGATAAAAAATATCGATTCTCATTGACTTATTTTTCTAGTAGAAAAATGCTTATAAAAAAGATTTAAATTAAAAAAATTAAATATTAAAAAAAAAAAAAATTAGGTCAAGCATCTCGCTTGTGAATAAAACGCTTATACTCAAGATTTTATTTTATTTTATAAGATAATGAGATGGATAACATGTTATTTGTTTCAATTCTGCTAAAAAAAAAATAGACTACACATTGTTTAGAATATCCAGAATTTAATTACTATGGTGACTAATTATTTTCTTTTAAAAGCCTATTTATAATCTAAAATATCTAAAAAAAACACCTTAAATTTTTTGTTAAATAGTTTCATAATCTTCAAAAACATAAAAGGCCATTTCAAAAGTCAAAACTAACTTGAAATAAAAAATCTTTTCAATGTTATATATATTTTCTTAGATAAACATTTAAAATTAAAAAAAAACACTTAATTTGAACCTCCAACTTTAGAGGGAACCATTTGAATATATATATATATATATATATATATTATTTAGATGGTTAGAATCATCATAACGTCAATTTTTTCTATCAAAACTGGAATTTGGTAATTTATTTTCTCTTTTCTTTCTAACTAAAAAGGTTTAAAAAATAATGAAAATAAAGTTTGGTATTAAAATTATTTTTTTAAAATTAAAAGAATTAGCCATCTAATAACTAAAAAAATAAAAATAAAAATATACTTTTC